AAGATGCAATGCTATGATTTTCAGCATGACTTCAGAGTATTAGCTTTGGGAGGTAGTGATATGGTTTTGGGAGTGGATTGGATGGAAGAATTAAGCCCTATAATGATGGATTTTAAAACTAAAACTATCAGTTTTGAGAAGAATGGAGAAACTGTAGTTATAAAAGGGTCTCAGAAGCTGCCATTAATCAGATCTATCACAGGTGAGAAATTATAGAAATTAGCAGAGAAAGACACTGAATTGAATGGGGAGATTTATTTGTTAAGTGTTGAAGTAGAAGGCAGTGAAATTCCTTTACCATTAGAAGACCTATTAGAAGAGTTTAAAGAAGTTTTTGAAGAACCAAGAGGAATGCCTCCTAGTAGACAACATGATCATGCAATTGTCCTTAAACAGGGAACACAACCAGTAAACCTTAGACCTTATAGATTTGCTCATCATCATAAGGCTGAAGTTAAAAAATAGATTGCTGAGATGCTGTCCTCTTCTATTATTCAGGTGAGTAAAAGTCCTTTTGCTTCTCCATGTTTACTTATTAAAAAGAAAGATGGAACTTGGAGATTTTGTGTGGATTATAGGAAACTTAATTCTGCTACGGTTAAAAATAAGTTACCTATTCCTATAGTGGAGGATTTGTTAGATGAATTGAATGGGGCTGCTTTCTTCTCGAAAATTGATTTGAGGTATGGATATTGGCAAATTAGAATCAAGGAGGAAGATATTTACAAGACTGCTTTTAGGACTCATCAAGGACACTATGAATTTAAAGTAATGCCATTTGGCCTTACTAATGCTCCAGCTACTTTTCAGGCTTTAATGAATAATTTGTTTGGAGCATATTTAAGGAAGTTTGTTCTTGTATTTTTTGATGATATATTGGTTTACAGTCCTAGCTTGGCAGAGCATAAACAGCACCTGAGAACAGTGTTGGAAGTGCTGTTGAAAAACAGGTTATATGCTAAAAGAAGTAAGTGCTTCTTTGGACAGCAGCAAGTGGAATATCTAGGGCATTTAATATCAGCTGATGGGGTGGCTATATATCCTACCAAAATTAAAGCCATGCAGCACTGGCCTTTGCCTAAAAATCTGAAAGCTTTAAGAGGATTTTTGGGTTTAACTGGATACTACAGAAAATTAATCAGAGGATATGGGGAACTGAGTAAGCCTTTAACCAATATGTTAAAAAAGGATGGGTTTTATTGGTCTCAAGAAGCTATTACAGCCTTTGAAAAGCTAAAGGAAGTTATGTGTAATGCTCCAGTTTTGGCTTTGCCTAATTTTGAGCAGAATTTTTTTTTGGAAACTGATGCTAGTTCTAAAGGGATTGGAGCTGTTCTTTCTCAAGCAGGAAGACCTATAGCCTATTTGAGTAAAGCTTTAGGTCCTAAGCATGTATATCTCTCAATCTATGAGAAGGAGTATTTGGCCATTTTGATGGCAGTTTCCCATTGGAGGCATTATCTAGAGAATAGTTCTTTTGTCATTAAAACAGATCATGAGTCCTTGAAACATTTACTTGAACAGAAGTTAACTACAACTATTCAGAGAAAGGGACTTACAAAGTTATTGGGGTTGGATTATATTATTCAGTACAGGAAGGGTAAGTCTAACAAAGCTACAGATGCACTCTCTAGAAAACAAATGGATTCTGGTGAATTTGTTCAAATGGGAGTTACTGTTATAACTCCTACTTGGGTACAAGATATTGAAAAGAGTTATGAAGAAGATGCTCTAGCTCAAGAAAATAAACCTATTCTGGTTATTAATCCAGATCAATTACAGGACTGGAAATTACTGAAAGGAGTCTTGTATTTCAAAAATAGGATTTATGTGGGCAGCAAAGGGAATTTGAGGCAGAATATAATTATGGCTTTGCATGATTCACCACAAGGAGGTCACTCAGGTATTCAAGCTACTTATCAGAAAATTAAGTCTTATTTTTTTCTGGCCAAGGATGAAAATTCAAGTTCAGGAGCATATACAGCAGTGTGATATCTGTCAGAGGACTAAAATAGAACATATTTCTAAGCCAGGGTTATTACAACCTATTGCAGTTCCAAACAATGCTGTGGAAGTGATTACAATGGACTTCATTGAAGGATTGCCACCTTCAACAAAGTATAATTGCATTTTAGTGGTGATTGATAAATTCACTAAATATGCTCATTTTATGCCATTATCTCATCCCTATACAGTAGTGGAAGTTGCTAGAGTTTATATTGATCAGGTTTATAAGTTACATGGTCCTACTAAGGTGGCTATTTCTGATAGGGACAAATCTTTTACTAGTCTGTTTTGGCAAGAATTAATGAAGCAATTGGGTTCAACTACTTTATTTAGTACTGTCTATCATCCTGAGATAGATGGCCAGACAGAGAGGTTGAATCAGTGCTTGGAATAGTATTTGAGGTGTATGTGTTTCTTGAAACCAAAGACTTGGTCCAAATGGTTAGCTCATGCTGAGTGGTGGTACAATACTAACTATCACTCTGCTCTACAGATGACACCATTTGAAGCTTTATATGGGTATAAAGCTCCTAATGTGACATGGACAACAGAATCTAGGGTGGAAGCAGTGAAAGATGTCATGCAACACAGGGAACGGTTAAATTCACTACTACGAGAACAATTACTTAAAGCTTCAAACAGAATGAAGCAGATGAGTGACAAGCATCGAACAGACAGGGAGTTTCAAGTTGGCGATGAAGTTTACCTGAAGCTTCAACCCTATAGACAAACATCACTGGCCCTCAAAAGAAATTTGAAGCTTGCTGCTCGTTATTTTGGACCCTACAAGATACAAAGCAGAATTGGTAAAGTTGCTTATAAACTAGAGTTGCCAGCAAATTCGAAGATCTACCCAGTTTTTCACGTGAGTTTACTTAAGAAAAAAGTGGGGAACAAAGGACTTATCTCGATCGATCCTCTAGAGGTCGCATCGGATGGACAATTGAAGATTTATCCAGCCCTTGTTTTGGATCAACGAGTGATTACAAGACAGAATCACGCAGTCATTCAACTGCTCATTCAGTGGACAAATATGGGAGAGACAGAGGCAACTTGGGAGGATTATACAGTATTGAGATAATAATTCCCTCAGTTCAATCCTTGGGGACAAGAATCATCTGGAGAAGGGGGTATTGTTATGATGACAGGAAGGTTAGGGTTTGATCGTGTTGATTTGGGGAAAATCGCGAAGGCAAGAGTTGGGAAGCAACAACAGAAATTGGGGAAAATCTCGAAGGAAATTAGGGATTTTACTGGAAGGCTAGGGATCGAGGTATCTGAGGAATTGGGAATTGAAGAGATTAGGGGAGTCGGCTGAGGTATATGAGGGGTTAATGGGTCTATATGATAATTTTCTTTTAATTACTGTTGGGCTTTTAAGTTGGGCTTGGGTCTGTTAGAAGAGTATGGGGAAAGAAGAGGGAATGGTGAGTCAGCATAGGGTGGTTATTTTGTTAGAGATTCTGTTTGACAACTGGTACTGTAGATATATAATTTGTACCGATCTTTTGAGGATTTATGTGATGAATGAAGCACATTTTCTGTATCTAAATTTCTCTCTTTCTAAAAACCCTAAAATTCTTCTAAATTTTATCCTCAATCATAACACTCTTTCTCTGTTTTATTTGGCTTAATAGTTGATATGTAAAGTTATTGTGGGTATATTCACATCTAAAACTCAAGAAAATATCATACTTGTTTCTAGAAATAGATGGGAAGATAAAGGTAACAATCAGAAGTATATGAGCATCAGTCAAGAGAAAAATATATAGAATTTGCCAAAAAAACAAAACAAAGGTTTCTATGCAATTTCTGAAAAAGAGTGTAATAGCGGAAGTAATGGGTTTTCCAGGAAGAACCCATTAATAAGTAGAAAATACACTTTGACAATGAACTTTTGTTTTCATAGTCCTTGTGTGACCTTTAGTTGTGGAGTAGACTTTAGGTACGTTAAAATTTTGAATGGTGGTTTAGCTATAATATCAGTTAGATATGTAGCATCAGAGAGATTTCAGATCTATGTTATTGCCTTGTAGTCCAATTTGTACCGTTCGAAATCTTCATGCTGTTAAATTTTCTACTCTGTCAATTAAAATGATCATTATTAACAGATCTCACTAAAGTCTAACATTGATGTCATATAACTTTTAGCTGACGAATTTATTAGAATAACGCAGTGGAAAATGATTGTTCATATGTAATCATGGACCACTAAGATAAATGTTATAGCGTTAAATTAAAGTTGTGTGAATCATTTAATATCTTTAAAAGATCGATCGAAATATCTGATATCTTCAAATATTTCATCACTGCTAATCAGCTCTTACGTTATTTATCACTGTAGATTTGGTTGATTTGCATTGTCGACTATTTTTCATGAAAGAACAATGGAAGGTAGGGTCTCCAACGTTTATGTTTGTGTTCATTTATGTTCGTTTATTTATTAAATGAATGAACATGAACCAAAAAATATTTATTCTTTTATGTTCGTGTTCGTTTATTTATTAAATGAACGAACATGAACATACAACCGTTCATGTGTGTTCGATTCGTTTACAAATCTACTCACAGGAAAATTCAGCGAAAAATATTATATTATAAATTCAATGTTGTCGTTTACCATCACCTACTTATAATATTTTCTCTCGTTGGCTCTTCACCTTTCCTTTGTAATATTCTATGAAAAAAAGACCGTGCTTTGGCCACCCACAGTAGCGCCCACAATCTCCATTTCTCACCCGCACCAATCACAATTCAGCACCTTTGACCCTTCTCTTCTTTCTCTCTGCCTTCACTTTCATTCTCTTAATTCTCTGTTCCATACATATATAATAAACGAGTACAGAGATTAACTCAAAAGTCAAAACAGTGCTCATATGATTCGTCTCTTTACTTTTGCTTTACTTTCCAAAGGGATTATTAAACCCAAGACAAAAATAGCAAAAGGTTTCATTTTTCATTTTCCCCACTTTTAGCTCCCCGATTCTCTAGAACCCCCTACTTCCATGAATTTACTTTTTTTTCCCTGTGATTTGGGTTTTTGAATTTTGATCTGTATGTTGTTTTTCTTGTTATAATTTGGAGTATTTGATGTTGGATCTGCTATGTATATCTAGGGGTTTCCATCAAGATCTGTTTTTTATTTTCATTATTTTCCCTACCATTTCTCTAATTTTCCTCGGGTTTTGGAAAATTAACCTTTTTGAGATTCCTCAACTTATAGGAAGAAAAGGGGTACTCAGCGGATTCCCTTTAAATGCTTTCAATGATTTGATATTTCGTTTGTTAATTCAAAACTTCTCTTCTTCTCTGCTTGTTTCTCTCTCTCTTTGAACATTTCATTCAAGGGGGGTGGGGGGGGGGAGAAAAGCAAAGTTTTTTCCTTTCCTTTTTCTGTGCTTGTGTACGGGTAAATCATCTTTATATTATGATGAATAGGGGACTTGAAATTCTTTCTCCAGCCTCTTATCTGCACACATCCAATTGGTTGTTCCAAGAGAGTAAAGATACCAAATGGACTCCTGAAGAGAACAAGTGCTTTGAAAATGCCCTTGCTTTGTATGATAAAGATACCCCTGATCGTTGGATTAAGGTGGCCGCCATGATTCCTGGTAAAACAGTTGGAGATGTCATCAAACAGTACAGGGAATTGGAAGAAGATGTGAGCGATATAGAGGCTGGTCTCATACCAATCCCTGGTTACAACCATGATTCTTTTACATTGGAGTGGGTTAATGATGGTCAAGGCTTCGATGGATTCAGACACCATTACACTCCAGGTGGCAAAGGAGGCACAGGGTCAAGATCTTGTGATCAAGAAAGGAAGAAAGGTGTGCCGTGGACTGAAGAAGAACACAGGTAAAATTCTGGGTTTCTTTTGATTATGATCATGCTGGAATTTATGGTAGGAATGGAGTTTGCTGTTTGATTCTTGCAATTGTTATGGATGTTGACAATGTGGTTGGTAGACAGACAGTGTGTCTTTTTGTTCCTTGTTGCTTATGGTGTTTGATTTTGATGATTGATGGACAGGCAATTTCTAATGGGGCTTAAGAAGTACGGTAAAGGGGATTGGAGGAACATTTCGCGGAATTTCGTGACGAGTCGGACTCCGACTCAGGTGGCCAGTCATGCTCAAAAGTACTTCATCAGGCATCTTAATGGAGGGAAAGACAAGAGGAGGTCCAGTATCCATGATATCACGACGGTTAACATCCCCGATACTCCCTCTTCTTCACCGGATCACTGCAAGCGATTGTCTCCGAATGATTCTTCTACAGTCATACAGGCACAGCAGCTGGCGAAACCGGCCACAAGTAAAGAGATTGATTTCGAGTGGAAACAACAAAACGAGGGAGCACCTATGGTTTTCGACCAGATGAGTAATCCCAATGCTTTCCTGCCCCCTTTCTCCGGGATTTCATCGTACGAACCGGAGATTGAGGAACAAAATTTGCTTAGAGAAACTCTTCCCGGTTCTCAATTTGGAACATCATACAACACTCTTGTCCAGATGCAGTCAATGCAACATCAATAAATTCATTGACGAAAGAGGAAATGAAGGTATTATTATTAGTTAAATGAGATGAATACGAAGCGTTGATGTGTATATCTTGGAGATGCAATTCAGTCCATAGTTTCCTCTATAAAGAGAGCTCAGTTAGGGTGGTTTTGTGATTTCTTCATTCAAATTCCGAATTATTGAACCAAAAAGATAAGCTCATTTACACGAAGAAGCGTCGGTGTTTAAGTTAATTCTAGTCTAGCCGTGTGTATGCATCATCTGTTGTCACCTTCTATTCTTGGATTGATTGTGTGTTCCTATAGAGGCTTGAATTTGATAATAATAATTCAGATTTCCTTGCTTCGAACTGTGATGAAATCTATAAGGATCTTCTTGTTGCTTACGAATTGTGTTGTGGTTTAAATGGATGCATATATGAGCAAGGTGGAAGCAGTTGATTTGGACAATAATGCCATGTCAAATGTTGCTTTGTCCGACTTACTTTTGCATGCCTTTTACTAGTTTAATTAGTCTCTGCTTAATGGTGATGCCTTTTTGTGCAAAATCTGGTTTATATTTTGATCACTCGTTGCTTACTAAAACAGAAGAGGAAGAAAGTAAATGGTAGTTTAATCAGTTGACTGATGATAATAGAATCTTGACTAAACCATGATTAAGAACCACTAATCAAAGCATCTCGTTCTTCCATTCCATCTTTCCTTCTGCCAAACCCCCTTTTTAATGATTCTCAAAGTAAGAATTCCGGACCTCGGAGACGACATCGTTGGAAGGGTCGGTCACGAACCGCGTCTCTTATCCATTGTCGGGTCTAAAACTCGCGATGAAAATGGAAAGAAGCAGGAACTTCGATTGATCTGAAACCTGCTTTGCCATTCTGGCTCCATTGTTGTTTGCTGTTGCTGCAAGCTTCATGAAAAAACACCGGTGGCCACCGCATTGGTAGCACAATGCACATATTAAGGTTTGGTCCCACCACCAATTTGTCAAACAATTTTAAAAGCAGCATGGAGCAATATATAAAGTAAAACAAACCCTTTTTATTGAAAGGGGAAAAAAACTGTCCACTTTCTTTTTTTAAAGGATCATTTCTTTTTATTGATAGAGCGTAAAATTTTTAATCTTGTGGTCGTGAAATCGAGTCTCACTGAGGGCAATTCATAACGGAGGTCTTTCACGAAAGTTACTCTCAACCTGGCGTTGGGGCAAACTACTACCTTACCTCTCCTTACCCCCATTTCATATGGGAATAGGATCAACTAATTTTTTTTCTTTTTCCTGCAAGATGCATAGGGAAAGTACTTTGGCTGCTTTATATTAATTTTCAATCAAATCCACTCAGCTCCCTTAAGCACTTGGGACTGTGAAATCTCATTTCTTTATTCTTATCCCCCCCCCCCCAAGTTATTTGAATTCCAGAAATAAGTTTGTATGAAGAAAATGACAAAACTTTGGTAAGAATCTGAGTCGGGGTGCATCATTGTAGGACCAAAGGTAGCTGCTTTTGATATAAATGGTAGACGAGAAATAAAAGACAGAAAGTGGAACAATTTAAAAAAAAAAACGAACAAAGAACCGTACCCTGTTCTAACAAATCTAGTTATGGAGGGGAATATAATATACAGGAAGACTGGCATGATGAATCAGCTATTAAAATTTTTATTCATTTAAATTTGCAGAATTATGTGTCCAATTATGAGTGGTGGTTGTTGAGAAAGTTTAAACTCTATTCTCGTTGTTTTCACCGTTTTCTCCTCTGCCAACCAGATTCTGTCTTCACCAGAATGATTACCCTTTTATATTTAATATTCATTTTATATAACCCATTGGATGAATTCCGTGATAAAAGATAATATTATTATTCTTTAAAGATCGAGATAGAGTAATCGTGTATGTAGAGAAGGTCTACATTATTAATAGTAATGAAAAATCTTAATAAATATTATATTATAATCAACCGAGACCTTTGAAAAAAATATCTGATTTATACTATGTATTCAAAACATGTAATTGTTCGTCATGATCAAAGTTTAGCTTTTTTAATAGTTTTGGATGATTATTCGTAAAATTTTAAATTTAAATTTACTTATCAAGAATGTAATGTATTTTACAATTGAATCTACACCCAACACTCGTTTATGACTTGTTTTAATGAAACTATAATTGAAGGGAAACAACAACATCCTATTTAATGAGATTTGGACTTAAGGTCGGATATCAAGCCATTGTGCTCATTTAGGAGGCTTATTTTTCAATAAGTGATTTAGAATAAAAAAAAGTATTACCCATCCTAACTTTTAATTAGAAATCTACGACAGTTGTTACAATGTCGGACGAACTCGTCACATCGAGGTGATGAGTTTATTGAAATATGATTTTTTTAATGGATCAAGATGAGTGGGTCTTATGTGGGCTATTAATTTATTGTTTTAAGCGAACTCGTCACCTCGACGTGATGAGTCCTTTAATTTATTTTATTATTATTGTTTTTAAAGAGAGCTTAGTTATGCGACGTTCATAATGAAACTCATTACGTCGAGGTGATGAGTTCGCCCGAGTTAAATTTTAAAACATAAATTAATTAAAAAATTAATAATTTTATTAAAATAGCATTGTTTACAAACTAATAAAATTTATTTATATTTTCTAAGTTCTTGACAATGTCGAGGAGTGGTCAAATGATAATGGCGTAGGGCTCATCGAATACGCAAAGGTCGTCAGCCTTGATTGTCGTTGTCGTCTTCATCTTGCCGAGAAGGTGTACTTATCACACTTTGGATCTGCCTTCGAAATACGGTGATGGGCTTATGGTATTTGACGCCATCATTGCCATTACTGAATCGACTTGGTGGCTATGTTGTTGATAATATACGATATGATCTCATTCACCCTCACCCACATGTTTTATCGAAGATGTTAGAGTGTGTTGCATTGCATCTCATGAACCCCCAACCCAAGTCGACCGAGTCTCAGTTGAAGCATGATATGTAGGATATAAACCAAAACTAGCCTGAGATGCATAATAGTAATATTCAGCTGCAGATGCTGAAGCAGAAGAAGAATACACAGATGATTTCTTCTTGGACTCGGGGAATCTGGCCTCATGTTGTTCTCATTCTCCCCTCTGTCTTGGTGTCATGAGATATGGTTTCCCATTTGTTTCGTAAGTTCGGAGATAGAGAGAATAATCAAAATCTAGGTCCAACAATGTAATCTCGTAACGCGGGGGAGCAATAGGTGACGCTGATTCCATAGCTCGATGTAGTAAACATGCTTCGCTGGCCAATTTTCGGTATGTTTCTCACACGTATCAATTCTATGGATCAAGTCCAACTCAACGATTTGCATAGGAATCAGCTGATACGATGCATATCGTCGCAATACTCTATCAGCAGCATGCCACTCAACAATCGCAAAATGTAATAACGACGTCGCGATATATCATCAATCGGACCCCTCAAAAGATTGTGATGGCAATAATCGATAGATTTCGTCGTCAACATATGAAAGCCTAGAAAACTGTAAATATTAAATATCAAAGTTAATATATATATATAAAGTTTAATTTTTTTTATAAAAAAATAATAAAAGAACAAATGTATATTACATATCGACCGATGATGTCGATCCTCATCCGTTTATCTTTTACAGTGGCACCCGACAACTTCGTCTCAGTTACTTTATGATGCCATCTAAAATATTTAAAAAATAGAAAAAAGATTAAAAATAAATAAAAATTAATTAAGTTAATCAAATTAAAAAAAAGTTAAAAAAATTACATTCCAATAAGAGGAAACTCAATCGGGGTTGTTGTAATTAGCGTAAAAAACGAGAGATGATTCTAAGCTCAGGATTGTAGTAATATTAGACAACCTGCTACATTGGTTTTTCGACCCCGTTTGACAATTACATCCTTGCAAAGTTCTCGGTATAGAAAGGGTAAAATCATCGAGCCTCAACTGATATTGCGATACTTAGCGTAGTCATTTAATTTTCAAAGATACTGAGTGTATGCCAAATTACCGAATTTGTCAGGAAATAATACCCCTCCGATCAGTTGGAGTAGATATGCTCGAGACGTAAAAATAACCTCATCCTCGGTAGAGTCGGTCGTAACTTAGAATTCAGACTCCAACCATGTCATCCATTCCCGATAGCCATCAATGAACTCGGATGGTGGAAACTTTCCCAAAACTTGGTAGACCAATGCCGTGGGATCGTAATTGTTCCGCTTCACCAGGGGCTCTATTCACAAGAACACCAAGTTGGTAAGCGACGTCTTCCAAAGTAATCATCACTTCACCACTCGGGAAATGAAAAGTGTGTGTCTCGAGCCGCCAACGTTTGATCAGAGCCTCAATCAACGCCAGGTGAACCTTGAAGCCACGTACAAATATGGCTGGAAATAGATCGGATTACTGAAGATATATCAGCATCCGCTGATGTGGATCTCTCGAAGTCCTCCCACGCTAACGAATACTCTGTTCTTCTTTCTGTCGGAATTCGATCGATGAAATATGGACACTGTTGAGACGCAACATGTCTGCTTGGGAAGCCAATTTTTAGGATTTTCATAGAAAGTATGATTTTCATGTTTATTTTGATTTAGGGTTTGATGAAAAAGAAAATCTCAAACCCCTATTTATAGCCCCAATTCCAACGGTTATAATGCAAAAATCCGATGTGACCATTTCCATGTGATCGTTGTAGCTATTCGTTGACTAACGACTAATTTTTTGAATTCGAATAAACTTGTCACCTCGAGGTGATAAGTTATCCTCTTCTTTTTTAATTTCTAATTTTTTTTTCAATAATATTTTTTAAAGGACTCGTCACCTCGACGTGATGAATCCGTTCAAAAATAATAAATTAATGGCCCATGTTGGACTCACTAGTCCGAGCCCATTAAAAAATCATATTTCAAGGAACTCATCACCTCGAGGTGAGGAGTTCGTCCAATACTATAGCAAATGCCGTAGATCCCTAATTAAAAGTTGATGAAGGGTAAAACCCTACTTTTTATTCTATACACTCTATTGGGCCCAAAAAGCCCATTTAAGATAACTATATAAGATATGTCTAATCAAAGGTGTCGTACTACTTATTTTGAGTGTGGGCTGGGCTACTTATTTGGTTAGTCTACTTCAGTTTCTTAAAAGTAAATTTTTTGATCTGCGTTTAGTGTTTACGGCCGAAACCCTAGAAAATTATATGATAAATATTAGGATAAACTACACAATTCATGGTTGAATTAGTTTCTTACTCTTATCTTAGTCACTTAAGTTTGAACATTTTCAATTTGATCAAAGTTTTGAATTACCCTTATTTTTTTTGGTTGCCCCCGGTTGGTTCGCTTTGATTAATCTGGACTGACCTACGTTGCACACCTAACTTTGGTGGTGAGTCTCCCAAAAGGGATTTTCTGCATACACAATAACTCGAACTCGAG